AAAATAAAATAAAATAAAATAAAGCAGCAACAAACTTGGAACAACAGAAGTGTGAGTAAATAACTAAGATATGGCCCAGCAATAGGAAATAAATTATAAAGACTCTGGCTCAGTCATATAATCAAACATTATGAATCATTAAACTAATGCCTTAATAAAATAATTTTGGGAAACTAAAAATATTAAGTGAGGAAAAAAGTCATAAAATAGCATGAACAGTAAATTCCTAATTTGAGATACAGACTGGGGGAATAGAGGACAGAAGAGACGGATAGAAAAAGTTGAGTACTCGGCCATAGAGCCATGGAATGAAATCTTAAGTACACTAAAATGTTAACAATAGTTATGATATGCATAGGTGAATGTATTTCCTATCTAGACAGTTCCCTGTTTTCTATAACAAACATTATTCTATAATTAATAAAACTATATTTAGGACCAGGAATATAGCTTAGTGGTGTGGTGCCTGCCTGGCAAGCGCAAGGTCCTGCGTTTGATTCCCAGTACAAAAAAAAAAAAGAAAGAAAACTATATTTAAAATATCAATATTAATACATTCCTCTTTTACTATGAGTTGAAATGTAATAATACAGAATCTAAAAGTAAACTAAGTAATTATAATTTAAACTAAAATTTGTTTTCACAACTTGAACAGTTATAGATAAGATGGAAATCATTTTACTTTCTAAATTCGTAATATACTAGCACTAGCTTCTCATATGTATGACTCTACCCACCAAAGCTGTAAAACACTAGCACTATATAATGTTTTCCTTTTTCACACACAGAGATTTTTTTAAAATGTAATAAAGCCATAATGGCTATTTCACTATAGTTATCTAGAAACCACTATGAGAATTCAATAGTAGAAGTATACTACTTGTGTATACTGAGAACACCAAACAAACCAATAAATTTAATTTTAATTACAACCTAAATAAAAGATATACAGAAATACCTTCATTCAGTTTCTGGGATACAAACTGTTTTGAAAAATTTTATAGCAGTACACCAAAATATCAGATATATACATTAAAGACCAAAGAGGGAGGATATCTCCAAAGACCTGACAACATCAAACCATAGGCTAAATAAAAGCACAAATCTTTTCCTCAACTGCAAACAGAATCAATAGTTTGAGAACCACTGGGGAGAATCACAAAGCAAGAAACATGGCCACAACACTTTAATGGCACATTGCTTTGAAACAGTTAATGGGATGCTGGGAGGAAAAGTCACACGATATGAATCCTGAAACTTAAATAAGCCTAGAATACATTGACGAAACTAATAGCTGCTGGGGATGGATAGTCACACTCAACTTAAGAGCAGTAAACTAACTGCAAGGAAATAAAACTTCTCTGTAAAACTCCCTAACAGAATTGTTATAAATGAACCAATAAAAACAAGGAGGGTTATAATATTATTTATTGTTGTGGTAGAATTCTTTCTTAGAGGAAAATGAATATAAAGTCTTTCCATCATCTCCTGTTTGCTATTCCTAAAAGAAATGTACACTGATTAGTTTTCAGATCTTGCCAGATTTGGGTAACATGATTGGGTTTGAAAATGTGACAGAATATGCTTAAGTGGATCATTATGGAAATCTAGAGCCTCCCATAAGCAAGAAAAACAAAGAAAATAAGAAAATCAAGTTTTAAGAAAACCAACATAAACATTTTGATGTCTTAACTGAGTGTTGGTAAGTAGATTTAAAATGAAGTATATATATATATATATATATTTCCTTTTAGACTTGCCTTTTTTTCAGAAAGGACTTGAAGGTACTTTCAAACAAAATACATAATGAAGTCAATACAAGAGAAAACTAGTATTATGGATACTATATCTTGTGCTGATAGGAACTTTACCTTCTCACATCTCTTATTAGTTGTCTTCACAACGCACACTTCTCTGCAGTACTATGCCCTTTTACCCTGGGTTGCTCTTGGGGACTCAGGTGTAGTACAAAGTACATGGCACTGGGAATCCAGTGACATTACAATCACTTAGTTCTGAGGTGATACACTGCTGCCTCAGATGTCAAATACAACAGTCTGTAGAATGGGAAAGTTTGCAAACTTTAAAAGACAAAGGTCCTTGAAATGTCACTGTTGAATTTTAAAAGTTCAACAAAAACAACAGGGCAGGTGCTTGCTCAATTCTCCATGAGATTATACAATGAAGACAGAGATTACTAAGACTGAAAAAAGACAACAAAGCTAAATCACTCTAAAAAGGATATAACCATATTTTCTTTTATTCTAAATCTTGCACCTTCTGGACTGAGCTAGGAAAGACTAATCATTCACAGTGACATGAATAATATGTGGCATGCAAAAAAAATCTATTATCTTACAACTCACAGGCAGATCAGCATATAAGAGTAGAGAAGGAACTTCATTCCTTGACAAAACTACATAATCCACAACATATGCGAAGCTAAGAAAACAATATGCTCATATAAAACAAAGAAAAAAAATGAAGTATCAAATGGACTGAAACACAGAATTGTAAGGCAATACTATCTACAGAAGCCGTGGAACACAATCGCAGTGAATATCAATTAGGCGTAAAAGAATAATTAAAGGAGCCTCATATTCAATTAGTTGAATACTAGACTCTCATTATACATGAGAAATTACACAGGGTTCACTGAGCCTTTATTAAGTGGCATTAATAAACAAAGAATTATATTTAAAGCACTATTTTCCAAACCACAGCAGAAGGTGACCTTCAAGAGGGTAATGCATCTTGGTGAGCTTAAATGATTCCCAACCTATTATCAATATCATACTTTCCAATGACTACTTAGACACATAAGCCTAAGCTATGAGCAAATCCTAGTTTATGATGGCACACCACACAGACCTCTATTAGCAATGTAATATCTGATGGAGGCTGAACATAAACCAGAGATGAAAGATAGAAGCCCACTCA